TGATAATTAGCTTTTTAATAACCTTTAATTTTAAAACTATCTTAATAAATTCCAAACTCTTTCATAAACTTACAGTCGCAAACAAAATGGTTAAAAATCGGGAGGCACTAGCTTAATCCAAGCTTAAAAATAAAATTGCCCAATTAACCTGGGAGCTACAGTATCTTAAAATATTAGATAATCACAGAATGATTACTGATATTGATAAAGAAAAAAAAGAAAAAATTCAGGACAAAATCATATTATCAGTAAAAGTTTTAAATAAGTTAGAATACCACCAGTGGTTTCAGCAAAAATATAGATATCAGAAAAAACAAAGGCTTCAACTGATTGAAAAACAAATTAAGGAAGCAGGTTTTGATACACAGCTTGTTAGGCCAATGGTTGGCCATCCAAGCTTAGAAGAGGCACAACCAGGCCTGTTAGAAACTATTGTTCAAATCGTTTCTTTGGATAGATAGGCTGATGATAGAAGATATTCAGAAATAGTATGATCTATCAAAACTTTAGATCAGCTTCAAGAAGCGCTAACAAATATGAATTATAAATTGTCATGCTCTGCAACATACCTTAAACTTATTCCAAGATGGCATAATACTAATGAGGGAAGACAGCATGTCAAAACTGTGCCAGTAAAGCTTTTAAAGTCACAAAATATGTCAAGAAAAAGTCATAATGATACCCGTTTTTGTGCTGCCTTAATAAGAAACTTAAAAGAAATGGTATCATTATTGGGTCCAAAGTGTGCTTTAGTAATATCTCAGGATGACAAAGCACGAATATCTCTTGGTTTAGCTGCAAGATATTATAATCTAAAATAGAAAAAATTATAATTTAAAATATAATAAATAAAAAATAAAATTACTAATAATAAATAATCTTGTTTATATAGTGCCGATTCTTATGAGGCTGGAATATCGAATAGAGCTTCCAGATCATGACTGGGTTGTTGCTGAAAGGCACAAGCTGATTCCATCAGTTTATACAATATTAGATATACAAGAGAGTAAGTATGGGCATGCTGATGTGGTAACATATTTAGGCCCAACATTTATAAGAATCTGCAGTAGTAAGCATGATAGTAGTACCACGTATTCTCATGGAAAAGATTTCGATAACCTTATAAGTGAGGAGCAATTGCGCAACTATACCACAACAATAAACGAACAACCTAAACTTGTAGTGGTGATACTAAACGATAGTGGTCCCGACGAAAATCCTCAATACAAAAAGACAATTCAAATAATAATTGAACATTTTGACAAATATGATCTTGATACAATCATTGTGGCATGCTTCGTGCTATACCAAAGCACATTAAATCCAGTTGAAAGGCAAATAGCATCTCTAAGTCATGATTTAGCTAGTGTCATACTCCTACATGATATGTTTGGAACTCATTTAGATTCACAGTTAAAAACAAATGATGATGAATTAGAGAAATGTAACTTTAAAGCAGCTGGAAATGCTTTAACATCAATATGGAAAAATACAATTATAGATAGCTACCCGGTTCTTATTAAATATATAGATCCTTCTGAAGAACATCACTACCCAAGTGAAAAGTCAGAAAGTTGGATAGAAAAGTATGTAATAAGCTGTTGTTACATGACTCAGGTTACAAAATGTGACGATCAAAGCTGTTGCAAGCTCTTTTGGAGTGGACTCCGACAAATTTTACCGAATCGCTTTTTCTTTCACCAATTATGGTCTAACAAAAGCCTAATAGTATTTGTGCGGCAACCATGAATATATCTGATGATACAATTCACTATTCCAATTTTCTCTTATCTACATTAATGGAAGAAAAATCAATTCCTCCAGATATGAATCTATGGTACTTCTCTTTTGATTGGTACTGCCCAACTATCAACAAATTGATTAACGAGTATATTTGTCTCTATTGTAATTAGTACTTTGCTTTAAAAAGAAACTTGAAATACCACATTCGAAAATGTTCATATAAGAAGTTTAACTTATCTGTAGAGCCTTCTTCAAATATTTAAGATTTCCAAGTAGGTAATAATGCATTCATTCACAACCATCGACAAGGTGAATTTTTGATCAGTAATGAAGGTAATGAGGCTATGTGGGTAGAAAAAGCATCAGTGCCCAATTGTATATCGGAAACCTATTATCAAAAAATACAGGTTCAAAAAAAGTTAGTTGTAGATAAGGTTTTAATAGTTAACTGAAATATTTAGAAACAATGTGAATAGACAAATAAATAAATCTACTTACGTATATATATTAAATTTATTATCTAATTGAGAAAAGTTATAAATGCGATGTATTTATATAGCTTCATAGATGTGATAATACTATATATCACATGTTACTTAATGTAAAATCACTTGGATGCATAGCTGATATATACTATATAAATATACTAAAAATTCTATATAAATTATACGTATACTTTATTTTATACGCATTCCATATAGATAGTGGGCTTCTCCAAAAATACTTTACTTTTATTACAGTATTAGTAGTATATTTAATCACGATCTATTATATACATATAAAAAATATTTACTAAAATTGAGATTTAATGCATAGAAAAGATTAACAAATAAATTCTTCATTAAAAAAAACTTCTTGTTACGTATTTCTCTGAAGACCATTTATTATCAGCCATCAAGTCAACAAAAAAATCCGAAGAAAATGAAAATAAAAAGAAAATCACACAAGGCTATATATAATCACTATTGCTAATATATCAGGTTTACTAGTAAAGTTATGATCTGTTTCAATTAAGTAAATATATATTGTGTATCAGGTATATACAAGCAGACTTCTCTAAATGCATATTTTCTAAATGTATAGCCTTATTTGACCCAACTCATATGATACTTATAAATTTCTACCTTCTAAATGCATAATTTTTTTGCCACCCCATGGCTATGCATTTAGAGAGGCCTGACTTGACTGTGCTAGATTGACTAGTATTGCTTAATACCATTGTATTCCATATGATACATAGATATGATAATTTTCCAAGTTCATTTGTTGATTAAAACTTGAATTTGTAATATGATAAAAGTATGGATGAGCTAACGAGCAAAGCATAAAAATTGTAAATACTGTATGAGCTTAAACAAGGCCAGATAAAGAAAGACCGAAAATAATAGAAAAAAAATTAATGAAACACCACTCTAAAATATAGTATTAAAAAAAAATATAGTATTTGATTTAAAACGAAGCTAAATGAGGTAAGAGCTATAATTTTATATGTACATGCTTATTTTATATACTATAAATAGTCAATTTTGGATATAACCAACAAGATTTTTAAATAAGTCAATAATGATAAAATTAATTATAAATATTCTCAGCTGTTATTGTGCTACTTACCACAGTATTAGTTAAAACTTAGCCACATGATCATGTATATAGAATATTTTGCCTTATTCAAAAATAATTAGAGTTTGTGTATTCAACATTATACAAAATATTCAAGATTAGAATAGCTACCCAAGCCCAGAATGAACACCTACAAAGCTAGCAAACTTACTGTAACTAAATATTTTAAATATATGGTATGAAAATGAAACTATTTAAAAACCTAATCTTTGAGAACCTCTAGTCTTTCGAGTTATTTCACAAACTATCGACTTATTTTATAAAACAAAGAGAATACTTTAAAATTTTGTAAGAGTTATGGTAAATGTGAGTAAATTACAAGAAACCAAATTTTAACATTTTTAACTATTGATTACATGATTAAGATGGACTACGTATAACATACGTATATCATTAGACAATGATAGATAATAATAATACTTTACTTTTATATACACTTTTGAATTTTATTTATTACTGTATTAATTAAAACAGTGCAGAGCGGAGCACGGATTACCATCACACAAAATGTTATTATTATACAAAATACGTAATGATGATATAGATAAAGGTAAAATTATCCTATACTCTTTCTTTTTTTTATTCTATAATTCCCCCTTTGAACCAATTTTTTAAACTTAATAGAATACTAGCCATCTCTTTAGAAGAATCAAACCCGGTAGGCTCAGTAGCATTTATGGCAAGAAAAGCACGTTCACAAGGCATGCTTATAACCTGTAAAGATAAGTAATCTGCCGCTATACGTGTTAGGGTTGGAAAGCGGTAGGCATTTACTTTTCACCAAAGTAATAGATCTACACTCTTCTCCTGCGGTAAAGAAAGATAGGCTTCTAACTCATCTTTCTTTGTCTTGATTTCACTACTTCCACTTTTATTTACTTGTATAAGTTTTCAAAATGTTTTTAACAGATTTTTGAGCTTGGTAGTTTTATTTTTACTCGTCTTACTTAATGAGTAAAAGGTTTTTAACTCATTAATAGCTATTTTACAGTCAATTATTTCAAACGTTTCAAATTTTGTAGATGGATCGAGGAGAGTAGGAATAGCGGAGGATTCCTTAAGATAAGTCCAATATTCTCTTAGTTTATTTTTCATTTCTGTAGCTGCTTCACGATGTGTATCAATAAAAAGATACTGATTAAGATGCATTGAAAGTCCTTGGATAATTAGTCGCAATGACCCATGGGAAGGATATGAGGTACTCAAAAAAAATATAGCTGCTGTGTTAAATGGTTCAAGAAGTTGTACAATTTTTTTTATAATTACCTACTCGTCGGCTTTCAGGTAATCATTTTTTAAACTTGGTTGAGATAACATGAGACCATCAGTAAAGGCTTGAATTTGGCTGAGGCTCTCAAGCATTGAATAAGTAGAAACCTCAACATTAACCACCGGGTAAAAGAAAGTATTGCCTAAAATATTTGAAATTCTCTTCAATTCCTCCAAGATTAAAGGTGAACTTATTTTATTACAAAATCTACGAGCTTTTTAAATTAGATTAAGATAATGTTTTTGCCCTGCTTGAGCTATAAAGTCAATTGCACTTGTTGTACAACACACATACTTAAGATTAGAGCTTATGGATCTTTGAAAGAAGTGCTGATATACTTGATTTTTTACATTATAATTAGTAAATCTGATTAGCTGTTTCTTTAATTCTATTTCTTTAACAATATTAAGAATCTTTTCACTAATGTATTCTTCAGTATAGGATTCTTGCAAAGGAATAAGGTCGAGGATAAGGGCTTTTCTCGTCTATTTATCATCGATCCAATGGACTGTAATGGCGAGAAAAGATTGGGCATATACTGTCCAGATATTTAAGGTGAACGCCAACTTATTTTTAATATTTTTTAAAGTTTTTTTAATTTTTACTCTTGCGGAATTAAATTGCTTTTTTATATTTGAAGAGAGAATGTGGCAACAAGGAAGCTTATAACGCAGATTAAGCTTGAAGACAAATTTTTTAAACAAATCTTCTTCAACTACTGTAAGCGGTAGCTGGCCAACAACGATGCACCACAACAAATCGTGATTTTCTCCTCATATATTGTTGCATACCTTACAAAACTTGAGTGTTTCAGGATCATTATCAATCTTCTGAAGAGATCTGAATTTGCGCTTTTTTGATTGTTCTTTAGAGTTACTAGCTAATATTTCAGTTTTTTTAGAGCATTGAACGTCCTCTGAAGAAAACTCAGAGGAGGAATCGATAACTATAGAATGTTGTAGATATAGTATTTGGAATTCCGAAGGTGATATTGATAATTAAATTTAATGAGCGATACTGGCTTTATTTATAATCGAATTATTACAATCTTTATGCATGCGATACTGGCTTTATTTATAATCGAATTATTAACAATCTTTATGCATTCAACTTAGAATATGCAAAGGTAAAAATTTTGAGTATTGTATTTTTTAAATGATATACTTAATAATATTATTAAGATATATAATATTCAACTCAATTAACAATAACACAATTTTAATATATCTTTAAGATTTTATTAAATAGCCAGGAGTTATTGTTAATTAATAATACATTTTTTTATTTTTAATTATTAAAAATATTAAAAAGTTTCATCGCAAATTAGGCATTTAAATGTTATTCAGAAACGTGCACATTAGGCGTTTAAACATTATTCAGGAACGTGCATATTTGAAGTTCTTATTATTCTAATTTAGAAGCGTACTATTATTATTACTAATACAGTTGTTTTTTCCAGTTAGTGTCTAGGAATCTATAGTTCGTGAAGATACCTGAAATTAGTTAGATACGCTGAAAGAATACCCGATGAGTATAATTGAAGTTCTTATTATTATAATTTAGAAGCTCACTATTATGTTAATAATACTTATCTAGTTATCTTTTCCAAATTAGTGTTTAGAAAATTTACACTCATTGAATATGACTAGTATGTGAATTTTGTTATTGTTGGAAGAGAAATTTTAATTTAATAATACAAATATCTGTCTATTTCATAAGTAGATAAAATTACTCACTATCGTGCTATGATTATATTAGCGCCTAAAGTCTATACTTTCATATACGGCAAGTATACTATTCTTTTAGTAATTTTCTTTTATATATGGAATATGAATATATCCTAACATAGTAATATTGGAAGTTTATTTATTAATAATAAAAACCAAGTGACGATTTATTGTATCACATATTTTGATATATGCTTATTTTTAATTAAAGAATCATTGATACATATTGACATATTGAAGATTTTTTTTGGAAATTGTTAAAGTATACAATCAGCTTTTAATGATTATTATTGAAGCATAGAGTAATATGGAAATTTTAAACATTTGATTATCTATTTGATCGTATTGTACTTATTATTTCTCATTCTATGTTTTATTATAATTAATGTAGTATCAATAATCAAGAAACTTCTTATAGCTTATTAATAAAAAAAAATTGTATTTCGATGCAGAGAATTCACACGACAATTCTTATTGCTATATGTAAAATATTATAATAATTTACTTAATCAATAAAAAAATCAGATTTTATTTAATTTGATTTAAGATATATCATTTAAAGATTATTATACATAATTAAATAGTTAAATAATAAATTTAAGTAATTATGATTTTAATATAAGTATAAGAGAGTCGGGTATCATGGCACACTTAAAAATTGCTTATTTAAAAATTTATAATTAACTTTAACTTTGTCTTACAAGTTATCAAAATGTACATATTCCAGTGGAATTACTTACCTTAGCATATTTTTAATAACCCTATGTTCGGTGATATTATTAATCTATTTTTGATCTGAGTTTATACTATTAAGACCCAAAGAAGTTAGTGAAATGTTCTTACAGAACGCATCTGCTAAGGCTTTTTTAATTCCAAATCCGGGGTTATACTCACCAAGACCCAAAGAAGTTAAAGAAGTGTTCTTGCAGAACGAATCTGCTAAGGCTTTTCTAACTTCTGATCTGAGTTATACTCACCAAGACCCAAAGGAGTTAAAGAAGTGTTCTTGCAAAACGAATCTGCTAAGGCTTTTCCAACTTCTGATCTGAGTTTATACCTACAAGATTTCTCAAAATAGTAGATCCACCATGAATTAGACCCGTCTGCGAACTATGAGATCTATTAATTAAATACAGTTTTTTTTTAAATAACTAAAATTGTGTATACATTTAAAATTTTTAACTTCGCAATATACAAATATACTAGACCCAGGTCTTGCATAAAAAATTCGAAAATTTATTAATTACTTTTTTTAATAAAGAATTTAATTTTAGTAAAAATTTTTTGCTGATGTGGCTTGCTACTCTATATTAAGCATAACACCAAACTTTGCTCTATATTTGGCATAGCAACATGTATGTACTGCATCTGATACTACAAACATCGTTTAATGTAAATTATGAATGCCACTTTATAGCAAAATGTAATTTAAATAACTTATAAAAATTAGAGATAGTATATATATATCTAAAACTTTTTATAATATATCAGCAAAAATAAATAGGCATAAACCTCTGCAAGTTTTTACACAAACATAAACTTACGAAAATTTATGATTAGTTTAGAGTATTATGTAGGTATAATAATTATGAAAGTTTATGCTATAGTAATTTTGAAATATTACATAGGTGTAATAATTATGAATATTTATAGCATAGTAAATTTAAATATAGCGAAACATAAATAGTTGAAAACTAGCAAACACATGCGTAAAACTATGAATATTTACAAACAACAAAAATCAAAATCATATATAAACTTGCAAAAATTTGCAAAAAGTTTGTATAAATTTGCATAAATTAATAAGAGATTACATACAACAAAATATCAAAAAGAAGCACAAATATAAATTATAAATTAAAAAAATTAATAATATAAATTTTCAAAATAAATTTACTAAAAATATAATAATTTTATTTTTTCATAAATATGAAAAAGTTGTAATAGTTTAGTAGTATTTAAAAATTGTATACAAATATATTTTAAGTAAAGGAAATTCTAGGCATCTCTAGCTAGAGATATATTATTTATATATCTTTGGCCCTCTAGCCAATTAAAGAATGAGAAAATTATATAATTAAGACTCATGTGTTAATCTGATCACTGATGCCAGATCGAACAAATTTACTCTATATTGCTATATTGCATATTGTTACATAATCAAATATATATCAATTGGTCAATACAGCAATAGATGCTTCGCAACAGCTATACTGGTATGTACAATTAGATCTCTCTATGTGTACACCTTCGGGACTATAGAAGAAAAATTAAAAGTGAGCTGCATTTATAGAGAGTAAAAAATATAGAGCTCTTATAAGCTTGAACAGGACTATACTGTGTATTTAGAGAGTTTATATAATCCATGCACTTAGAGAAGTATACTTAGGAAAGTTTAACTGTACTAAGTTATTATTCTAAATTATTATTTTTATAATGGGTAACTAGAACTAAAAGAATTTTTTTTTATTCAAAATATTCTAGAACGAAATCACTTGGAATCAAAAAAGGTTCAAGATTTAACAAACTTAAAGTAAGTCGTATTAAAAAAAAATTTTTATATTCTTCCTTTTACTCGCTTTAGAGATAAGTATAAAGAACATTTGTTAATCTATGACTTGCCACAGCACAACGAAAAGAGACGAAGTAAGAAATGAATTAAGATCAACTTAGCCTCTGCTTTGGATACTTTTCAAAGAAGACCACCTTTGCTGAAACTCTAAAACTAATAAGCCTTAATGGCTGAAATTCGCGAACTGCTCTTAGTTATCAAAATATGCTATTACCAATACTAGTAAGTTTTTATCTTCGTGAGTATTCTAATTTTATTTATCGTATAAGTGAAAATAATGCTTGTGGGGTTATTTGAAAATCAGGTTTTTCAAAAATAACCTGTATAGTCTCGAATTAGCATTCATAGGTGTTCTGAATTAACACATAATCTAATATAGTATATAATTGTTGTGATTCTATAAGTGTATATAATTTAATCGATCCAATATAATTATTAAATATTATATATGTAGATTATTCTCATAAATAAATATTCAAAAATGCACTTTTATTTAATGATATGCATTTATGGAAGGTTTGTCATATTGGGTTTAGAAGACATACTCTTGTTTTGAAATAATGCACATGGGCGTATTCGAAATAATGCCAGGTGGGTGTTATTTCACGTTTATATGGTAGATTGTGAGTATAAAGAATATTATTAATTCAAAGATTTAAAATTAACTATTTATGTCTATGAATGTTTACTATACCTTTAGTTTTATTTTAGGTAATAAGAACATTATCAATTTAAGTTCTGAATGTCTATTGTTTAGAATATGGGCTTGATAAGTGATTTCTTTTATTAATCTTCCATTCAACCTTATTTACTGTTCTAATTAATGGCAGTATCTAATATTTTTTGTTTTACTAGCTTCATTTTTGCAAATTTTTGTTAATGAATGAAAGCTCTATATTCATGCTTTTCATCTCCAATTTCATAACGATAACAATATTTAGCATTATATGTTTATATTAGCGTTACTCATCTCTATGGATTTTTAATAAGTGAAATTATTATGTTTATTGTTACAGGTAAGAACATTGATGTTATACAACTGATTTTTCACACAGTGTGCAACATATAAAAAATAATTTTACAATGCCAGATCATTCCGCTAGTACATGTTATGATTATAATCCAACACCATTTTTACTTATAAAAATGGTGGTGGATTATAATTATAACATGTACTTGCAGAATGATCTGGCATTGTAAAATTATTTTTTTATATGTTGTACATCATGTGAAGAATCAGTCGTATAATATCAACATTCTTACCTGTAGTTTGTTGTATATCAAATTGAAATTGTGCTAGTTCAAATTTTCAATACTGAATTTCAGTACAGTATAGGTATTAACGGCATTATAATTATTTTTGATCGGCAGAAATTTTAATTTGAAGTAAATGTTTATTCTTTTCGACTCCTATTTCAGATTTTTGATGATAAGTGAAAGCTTTATATTCATCTTTTCAAATCTGATTCCACAATACTAAATTCTCATCACTATCTTTACAGATTTTTTATATCAAGCAATATCTGCCATTAACTATTTTTTTGGATTTTGATAATAAATAAAAGCCTTATGTCTATCCTTTCAAATCCGATTTCATGATGCTAACAATATTAGCATTACATATTCACATTGGCATCGCCTATCTCTGCGACTCTTTGATAATAAGTGAAAATCTTAATGTTATTTCAAGTCCGATTTCACGACATTAACAATACTCAGCATTATATATCCAATCGGCATCTCCCATTTCTGCGAATTT